TCTTCTCTATACTCCTGAGTTTTTCTTAAGCTGATTCGCTTTAAAGACTAATTTTTGTTTTAGGATAGTTTAAATTTGTGCATTTACTTTCGTTTCTCTCCTATGCACAAATTTAGGGGGAGAAATAAAAACAAAACAAAAATTAGAAAATTTTAAAAAATCCAAAAACATTAGAAAATCAAAAAATCAAAAAAAAATATATATGTTGGTTATGGAATGTGCTTGAGGGAGATGTTTAGGGAAGTGATATTATCAAGTGATAACAGGCAATCTGAGTCTGCGTAACGTACCCAAAGTTGAATTGTCTATGCTCTGGGTTTGATGCGTTGGTAGGCACGAAAGATTCTAAATGGACATGACTAGGCAGAGTTGAACTTAAGGAATTCATAGACTTGACAAATCTTGACCTAGTTAGATCCGTTTAGCCTGACAATACGACGCTTGGATAGATTGAGCAGGGAGATATATATGGGAATCTACTGGTCACATTAAAGAACCTGTACTTGGAACCGTGGATTAACTTTTCCTCGATGTACGGATTCTGTCCTTAATTCCGGTATTGATGGGATGACTGGTGAATTCCGATAAGTTAGGTCTGTAGAAGGTTATATTTTTTCTCTCTATCTGTTAGTCATATGTTGCCTCCTCTGCGTGATCGAAAGATCCGACCTGGAATGTAGCATATGCAACTCAATCTCTCTGCATCTTCTATCTATGTAATTCTTTCTATATGTTAGCCATATACTGTCTCCTTTGCGTGACTCACAATCCGACCTGGTACACAGTATATGCATCATTCTTTTTCTCAATCCCTCTAAAACTTCAGTTAGTCATATGTTTCACCCTCTACGAGATTGGAAGAGATTCGACCTGGGTGTATAGCATATGCATTCTAAATCTATCTTCTCTCTCAATAATTGTCTGCTCACCCGATGTAAGGAGTATTCTGGAAGTCCTTGATTACTGGAGCATATCAGGAAGCGGGAAACATGTTCTGATACAACTAACACTGAATACTTACAGATTGTCTGTAGATCTCGCTGCTCAATTTAGGTGGACAACAATATCCCTGGTCGTCGTCAGCTGAATGGTCCTTAAGTAATAGTATCTAGGAACTTAGGATCACTTTGTCTTATAACTTATAGTATGTCCTAATTTTGTCACAATCTCTCGTGTTTAAGTAGACCACAATACCGGCGATTAACCAGATCTATTCATGAAGGGAGAGGTACTGATAAACGGATAAAGGTTGTCTAAAAACTTTGATCCCAAATCACTTTTAAAGTTAGATATCATTTTATTTTTGTTAAATTTGTTCATAGTTTTCTTCTAATTTAAATATTAGGGGAGAATTAAAAATTAAAAAAAAAACAAACAAAAATCAGAAAATTAAAAATCCAAAAATAGTGTTATTTCTGTTTTATTTCTTTTTCAGAAAATATGAAAAATCCAAAAATATTGTGTGCTAAGTTTTCTTTTAGTTTTGTTTTGTCTTGAAAAGTGAATTCAGGCGAAGATGAAACTCATGGAGTTTGTATCGAAGATTTCTAAGCCAAGGCTTCATCCGTGAGCATCGAAGAATTCTCATTCGAAGGAGCAAGAAATGAAGATTATTCTTTCGACATTCAATCTTTCAACCCCAGAAGCAAGGTGAAGCTGCACTTAAAGATTAGGTGACAGATTGCATTGAAGCCTCCTCAATCAGTCTGCTGCTATCTATGAACCTGCTGAAGTGATCCTGAAGATTAGTTCTCTCTGATGTTCTCTCTGAAGATTCTCAAACTGAAAGCATTATCTTTCAAGAATCAGTACAAGAAGCCTCCTCATCCGACGTGCGTTCAAAGCCAAATTCTGAAGAAAAGCCCAACTGCTCAAGATGAAGTCATTCATTAAAGATTCATATGTTCATCTTGAAGTCATGAAGATATCAAAGAGTAAAGCTGAAGCCAAAGCTCCCAATGAAGATTAACAAGAAAGCCAGCTATTTTTTAGGGGGAGCTTGTTGGGTCATTTAAGAAAAGAAAAGAAAGCTATAAACCAAGGGGGAGATTGTTGGGTCAAAAATATGGTTTATACTTTGCTTTTCTAAGCATTTATTGTTTTATATTTGGGCCAAAAATAGTATAGGATTAATTGTAGCTTGGACCGAGCATTGGATTATTTGTATTTTGGGCTTGGCCTTAGGTCCATATATATATATAGGGTGAGGAGTGCATGTGAATAATGAACACATAGAATAGAGGAGCTTAAGTGTGTGAAATCCAAGGTGTTCTAGAGAGAGAAAGAGAGAGAAAAGAGAGTGTGTAAGTGTGTGTGAATCTTGTATCCGGATCTTCATTCATATCAATACATACAAGATTCATCATATTCTTCTTCTCATTCTCTTCTATTTGATCTGACATCATCCGTTTGATTGGGATTCCGCACCATCAAACGGATCTGATTGATACACAAGCAGATTAGGGACTTACATGAAACTTTGACAATTATCTTATAAATTGGATAAGCATGATCATTACTACATCAAAAATAGGTTTATAAGTTCAAAAATAGCTTAGGGTAATGATCCTAGTCCGATTCTAGCCAAAAACATCGAAAATCTGCATTCTGGAACACCAACTCGTCGAGTGCAAGAACAAACTCGACGAGTTGGTCAGAATTGTGCTGGGACTCGGCGAGTCCACTGTCCATAACAACAGAAAATCGATTTTTGAAGCTTAAACAACAAGTAGCATCAAGTATAATTGAAAACAACCTTAGGCTCTGATACCACTGATGGGTTTTGAGCATTCTAACACTCCTAAGGTGTACATGCAACCCTAAATACCTTGGATCCATGTTTTCTCTATTATACATGCAAACTTTCATTTTCCAAGGTATTACCCTACCTAGCATACAAAACTTTTAATACTTGGGTAATAAAACAAGTTAGATAACATACCTTTTGTTGTAGCTTGTTGCCCTTGATGTATTTGGCCCTTAGGAACTTAGCACCAATAGTGTGAATGCCTCAAATTAAATCACAACACATCTAAGACAAAGGATGACATTTTGAGAGAGAATCTTGAACCCAAAATCGTCCATGAACTCCAAGAACTAGTAGCCTCCGATTTTGGCTATGGAGTCACATATTTATATATGGGATTCCAAGAGTCATGGGTTAACCCTAATCCATACCCATGGGTTTATGATCCATGGTTCACGTGGCCCAACTCTTATGTATCCGTACATAAACTTAGTCCAACATGGATCATAAGCCCAACAATAAAATAACTAATTTACACAATTAGTCCCCATTAATTTAATTAGTCTCTTTGATCACTAAATTAATTCCAAACTAATTCTTGATCAATACTAATTAAATCATATGATTTCATATTAATATATTAGAACTGATAATATATTAATAAACAATAAATAACCTCTTCTCAAAAGTCCATCCTAACAAATTGTCCTGATGATATGCAACCCAAATGGACCATGCTACTCTCGGGTCAAGTACATACCAATTATAGTTATGAGCTTAGACACCTAATCCAACAACAGTCACCGTTCCCTTAACCGTACAACCTTCCAAAATATAAATCCCATGAGGATTCATTTTTCGCTTTAGAAACAACAAGAGCACCCTTGGAGAGCCTTACGCAGTCACCATCTCCAAAATACTTCAATCCATCCTTCGCCAAAGTGCCAAGATAAATCAGATTGTTGCGAAGCTCCAGGATGAACCAACCATCCAGTTTCTTGACCATACCATTATGCATCTTAATCTGTACCGTGCCAGTTCCCTTGATACTTCTCACTCAGTCATCACCCGTATTGATTGTTCCATTCCACTCTTTGAAGGAGTTGAACCAACCATGACTGTATGTCATATGATAGGATGCTCCAGATTCACTAGTACAAAAATGACCTACGGACACACCATAAAAGTGTGACCATATGCGTATAGTGACATTTTATTTTTTCACTGAAAGTGTGACGGAAGGTGACGCCATCGTATAGGTCTTATGGTCAGTTTAAAATGTAGTGTCCGTATGATATGAAAACATGTGGCCGTATTATAAAAGTGTGGCTATTGGGTAGAGAATTTTGTTGCTATAATCAATCATTTTATCCAATATTGTGGTGTTAAACCGTCAATAGACACACTTTTTAGTAATTGTAGTGATTGTGTATCACTAACTGGCGAAATACATGTTACTTCAATGTGGCGTTTTGCTAATAAATTGTCATACAATTCAAAGTTTATTAAGACTATTTGGTATCTTTTGTAGACATATAATTACGGTAAACATGATCATGTTCACTAAATAGCCACATGTAATTAATTTCATAACTGACTATTTGCTAATAATTAGTCACAAAAACAATGTTTTATTGTGACTACTGTCTATCGTATAGAGACACATAATTAAGTGAAACATCACCATTAATATTATAAAGCCACACATTTTATTAGAATTACGGATGGATTTAATATTAGTTTACGGCCACATTAGTATAACCTATTTTATCATTTAGAAACATTTGCTTTATTTATTGTGACTATTGTTCATCCAACGACCGTATGAATTTATTGATAGTGTGACATTTGCTATTATTTAGTCACAATAATTATTTTTCCATGATTATTGTTTACTATTAGTCACACATAATAAATTAAAATGTGACCATTAAATACTTATAGACACTATTTTTTCTCATGACTTTCGTTATTTTTAGTCACACATTTACATTTTAAAATGATGGTCTTTTTGTATTTAGCCACAAACATAAATAAACATATTAACCACCTAATAAAAATCACATGCAACAAAAACTGAAAACATACAATACAATGTAATAAAAACAATTTTTTATTAATAATAAATTAAAGTTTTTACATCTAAACAAATTCAAAATTATCTTAAACAAAAAAGTATAAGATAAATTTAAACTAATAAAGGAAACATCTACATTATTTTCTTAATAACATTGCTCTTTAGTTTTGATTTATCTCACGTAGTGTTGTATAACTCATCATTTCCTATACTTTTGCATTTCGTTTGCTTTTTCTCGTGTAATGGTGTAAGGGCATCATTTTCTGCCAGTCTAGACTTTCCTTCTAAACTTCCAACTTCAATGTCAAATTCCCAACCTGTCATATGAAAATTGTAACTAATACGGGTTAAATATATAATAGCAATGTACTTAAATTTCTTTAAATACAATAGGAATGTACTTTTATTTTTACTAATAATAATATAAAAGTGTAACTTGCACATATTTTACAAGTTCGATGTTACAGATTGCTATTATTGGTGATAAAATGTAAGTGTGTCTTCGTTATTGGTAGAATATAGTTATCTATAAATAAGATTTCATTTATTTCAAAAAGTTTTTTTTCATAATGACTTCATCTTCTCAAATTCAAATTGTTTTGAGAGTAGATAATCTAAAATGAAAAACTAAAATTAGTTTTAGGCAAAACATAAAAACAAATTATTACAACTTCAGCTTCTCCCCCAATCTACAGCTTATTGTAATGAGTGATGTCGTCCCAATTTGTCTATGAGGTGGAATTCTCAAATTAAAAATAAAAACAAAAAAATTGCGGTGGCACAAAACTATATAAAGTATGATATTTGAATTATGTTACAGACCTGGACATAAAAGGAATTTTTCATAATTTTCCAAATCACAATTTGGCATGTCATTTTCTACAACCTGAAATAAAACCAACAGGATCATACTGTAGCATTAAATTTTCATTTTTAAGAAAAACTATTATATTTTAGATAATAAGGTAGTTATAACAATAAAAATCTTTCTGTTTAGATGACAATTAGCTTCTGATAGCGGTATCTGAATATTTAATAAAGACATGTATCGTAATCAATATAACAAAAGTCCATACTGTTAAGGGGGTTAGAGGATGAATAGTCCCAAAAGAGCTTGTTTCCTTCCACAATTGTATGAACCAAGGGATCCCTAAATAGCTAATTCCGTTGAGAAGTTAAGTGTCATCTTCCATTCTGAAAATAAATTTGTATATGCAAAATAAGTTCCAAGTCAAAATAAATGTATATAAATGCATAAAACATCACATACATATGATGAAAATTACCATTGCAACCTTCATGTGTTCTTCCAACCCCTGCACCAAATACAATCCATTTGCTGATAAAAAAAAGAAAAATATCATAAATAAATTAAAATATGATAAAGACATTACATCAAACACATGGTTTGTACATGCTACACATTCATTTTGGAGTCAACCACTCACAACAAAAACAAAAGGCTAATTCATGAAAGATCTTAATAAAAATAAGGGATATGTTACCTTCTTGACCAGTAGTGCCCCAAATATGAGGTCTGATACCTTTCTTCATCACTACTTTCTCCCATTACAAAACAATCATGGATTTGCTCAACTAAATGAAATTAAAAGGACAAATTAAGGCCCTGCTCAACAAATTAAAAAGAAAATAAGAGGAAGAAAGAGTGAAACAAATTCATTCAAAATAATAGACACTTACGAGTCACTCGTAGTCTTCATGGTCAGGTGTAAAATTGAGTAATTTTGTATGGATCTACAACACAAAAACTTGGTTTTGATTTCAAATAAATAATCAAGTATGGATGATGGTTCGAAGATTGCACGTTTGGTCCATTGACTA